CTGCCTGCCTGCCTGCCTGCCTGCCTTCCCTTTACCCTTCCTTCCTTCCTTCCTTCCTTCCTTCCTTCCTGCCTGCCTGCCTGCCTGCCTGCCTTCTTTCTTTCTTTTCTTTCTTTCTTTTCTTTCCTTTCTTCCTTTCTTCCTTTCTTCCTTTCTTCCTTTCTTCCTTTCTTCCTTCCTTCCTTCCTGCCTGCCTGCCTGCCTTCTTTCTTTCTTTTCTTTCTTTTCTTTCTTTTCTGTCTTTTCTTTCTTTTCTGTCTTTTCTTTCTTTTCTGTCTTTTCTTTCTTTTCTGTCTTTTCTTTCTTTTCTGTCTTTTCTTTCTTTTCTGTCTTTTCTTTCTTTTCTTTCTTCCTTTCTTCCTTTCTTCCTTTCTTCCTTTCTTCCTTTCTTCCTTCCTTCCTTCCTTTCCTTCCTTTCCTTCCTCCCTTCCCTTCCCTTCCCTTCCCTTCCCTTCCCTTCCCTTCTTTCTCTCTCTCTTTCTCTCTCTTTCTCTCTCTCTCTTTCTTTCTTTCTCTTTCTCTTTCTTTCTCTCTCTCTCTCTCTTTCTTTCTCTTTCTCTTTCTTTCTCTCTCTCTTTCTTTTCCTCCCTCCCTTCCTTCCTTCTCTTTTCTCTTCTTTCCCTTCCTTCCTCCCTTCCTTAATAAAGGCACGTATCTTAGGTTTATGCCACAGATTTTGTTATACTTCCTGCTTCAGACTGGTAGGAAACCAAAATTTAACAGTGCCCAGAGGACAATAAAAAAGGGAAATTAAGGTTCACATGTGATCCTGAAGGCACAAGTTGTTGAACCCTGCACTTAAGGCAAGAAAATGACATTAAGGGAGAAGCATGTTTTGAAAAAGAAAAAGAATGAAGAAGCCATGGTCCTCATCCTGAAAAAGATTTCACAGAAATCTGGACAAAGTTTCCCGCAAGTGTATTTTTCTTCCTAATTTACACTGGAGGCTGTCTTCTTTTTCTGCTGATGAAACAGAAAGGCCGCTGCACGGGGACGTGATTTGTTCCCTGCAACTTCAAAAAAGTTTCCTCTAATCCTGAAGGTTTCAACCACAGTCCCCACAGGAATTAATTGCAGGGAAGTTCAGCAAAAGAACGAGATCAAAAGCGGTGGGGATGAGCACAGACCAAGAAAGGGACGGGCGCCCACCACACCCTCCCTCGCTCCTCGTGGCACAGCCTGTCCTGAACCACAACCAACTGGTTTGCAGCAAAAGTGGACTCACTGTGCTGCCGAATCTTTCAGAAGGAACATGGGCGTAATGGGTGTGAGAATAACCGTGAGGAACAGGAGGAAGAGCCGCAGCCAAGGCAATGGTCAGATAAGAGAAATCTGAGTCTGGGCTAGAACTGTAACCTGAGAAACCGTCTTAGACTTTTAGGATGAAGGCAGGGAGGGGGGAGGAACATTTAGAGTTGCAAAATTCTATTACTGTAACCCTATATTAAAAGTTGTTTTAGTATTCGTGACTTTGGCATTCTAGTCTGGTCTACCTCGTAGGGCTGACAATGGGTTTGGTTCACACAGACTTATGCTATCAAAGCTACGGTTCCCTATGTTGGGTTCTCTCCCTTAGCACTCCCTCCATGTCTGGGGGCTACGATCAACCACCCGAGTCCAGCAAGATTGATTGATGTCCCAACTAATCTGTTAGTTGTAAGATATCTCAAAATACGATGTTATAATTCTGATAAGGATGATTAATAACAATAGTGATAAATAATAACAATAACTATTATTATGTCAAGGAATGGTTGTTGGAAATGTGTGATCTATCTATTCTGGAAAAGGCAATATTTTCTACTAATCAAAGGATGCAGCAATATGTGTTACAGGTAGATCTTGCTTAACGACTGCCCTGTGAAGTTACGACAGAGCTGAAAAAGTAACTTTATGACTAGTCCTCATGTTTACAACTGTCGCAGCATCCCACAGTCACATGATTGCCACTTGCACACTTCACAGCTGGCTTCTGACAAGCAGAGTCAATGGAGAAGCTGGCAGTAAAATTGTAAGTCAGGGTCACGTGACATCTCGCTTAACGACCGAATGGGAAGTGATGTCTTAAGTCCATTGCGGTCACATGATGTTTTGCTTAGTGATTATTATCATTTGAGGGCAAAAGGAATGGTTGCTCCCTCTGGCTTGGAAAACCTAGAGACCGTATTTCCCAGACTACTCTTGCCAGAGTTGATGCACACAGATGACTTGGTCTGGCAGAGAGCAGAAACAATGAAGCATTGCAAGCCAAACAACAATTACTAACAGTTATTAATTCTAATCCAGTACCTTCACCACTACCCCATCCTGGCTCTTGGGTGAGAGAGAGTGATGGGTGGAAAGTCACTTTGTGAGCTTCTGTAGCTGGTGGGAACTAGAACCTGGGTCTCCCTGTTCTTAATTCAGCACCTTCCTTTCAGACTTGCAAGATTCATGTCAGCCTTACGAGGTAGACCAGACAGGAAACACAACCAGATGAGCTAACTCTCCTTTATTGTA